CATCCCTGTCAGTAAGGATGCTTGCATGGGTTCCCATGTTAGGGAGTCTGTGAGGGAACAAATTGAGGAGTCAAACTCTAATTTCAGTAGCTCGTCCCCAAGTACGGAAGGCAAAGAGTAAGAAAGACACAATAAAGAATCAAAAAGAGATGGAATATACAGTAGACATGAAACAAATACAGTAAACACAAAAAGGAAAAGCAGTATGTCAGTAAGGATGCTTGCATGGGTTCCCATGTTAGGGAGTCTGTGAGGGAACAAATTGAGGAGTCAAACTCTAATTTCAGTAGCTCGTCCCCAAGTACGGAAGGCAAAGAGTAAGAAAGACACAATAAAGAATCAAAAAGAGATGGAATATACAGTAGACATGAAACAAATACAGTAAACACAAAAAGGAAAAGCAGTAGCAGCATGAAGTACCTGAGAGACTCTGGTGGCTTCTGCTAAGAACTTCTTCATTTCCTCTTCAGTGAATACTACATTCATTGCAGACCCACTGTGAGAACAGGAAGGAAAAGAAACCAGTTCAGCTTCCCTTGTGACTTCAAGAGAGATATCAGACACTACTGCTCAGGGTTCACAAAGTTACCAACTACCTCAGTATGATAGACTAGTCAAGCAAATTCCCAACTCAAGCCATGTGCTCCACTCTTGACTGAAAGAGAGGCAGAGCTGGTACCTAATGATGTTCCACTATACTTCCAGAGAAGACAGGAGAACTCCAGAACCATAACAGTGAACCAAATAAAGAGCTGTGGTCGCCTAGCACTGCTGTGAAATCCCTTTCCTGACCCAAGTCTTTGAAGCTCCCCCTACACTGGGGGAGACAGCTAGTCAGCCAGACAGCCCCACTAAGGGCCAGACCTTCCCCTTGGGGCAGGGTAGCTGTGTGCTCAAGGCAAAACAGACTCTTTGCTCACTTTACCCCGATTGCTCCTCAGTGACAGATGAAGTGGGGAATGCACAGGCCACTGATGATGGCTATGACAGTATAAATACAGATGAAAATAGGCTGTTCATTTCTGGCCATTTCACTGTGTTTGTCCCCAACATCTTATCCCCTAAAGGAGATGCAGAGTACATACACAGGCTGTATCTGAAAGCTACTTTGAAATGTTGCTGTCACTAGTGTCAGAGAGGGGGGGAACTGGGAAAACATGGGTCCAGAGTCAGTGATTCAGGTCCCTTTTAAAGACAAGAATCTCTTAAAAAAGATGTTACATTGGCCATTTCTACCCTTGACATCCAGCTTCCCCCTTGCTTTGATGGGCAAGCCCACAGAGGCTGTGGAGAAAAGTGGAGGAAGGAGCTATCCCACAAAATCAATCACTTTGGGCTAAGATAAATAGACACGAGTACCTAGGTGATTATATTTACTGGACTACCTCTTCAGCTGATGTAAATCAATAGAGTTCAATTAAATCCATGGACCTATGTCAGGAGCACCGCTGAGGATGTGAGCTGGTGCACACAGTACTTAACTGGTGGGGAAATGCATTTAGTTTCCCAAGGAAACTGTCAGATATTGAAGGTCATATCTGCTCAAAGGATGAAGAAGAAGTCTAGCTGTGGAACTGCTGCTGTTCTGCAAATAGAGGCCAGACAGGGTGCTGTGCTCAGGCTCTTCACCCTCTGGTTCCTCAAAGTTTACATCCTCCAGTTTCATCTTTCTCACTGAAGTCCCCCTAACCTGCAAACATCCTTTAGCAAATACTTAACATGGAAAGGGTCTATAATGGATTTAATTCAGATGGAAACAACAGGCTAAAAGAAATGTTCCCTGAAAATCTGGACAATTACATCAGAAGCAGTTTCTAACTTATACTCCTGACCCAAGGGCTGTTTTCTAACTTTGCTTGCAACCCCACTGCAAGCTTCAGAAACCAGACAGAAAAGTCACATTCAAGAGTCTCTGCTAAAGGATATTTCCTTGAGGGTTGAACATACAAGAAATCCTTCTCCTTTTCTTCTTTTTAAATAAAAATTGTGTTTGCCTCCCCCCCAAAAAAACTGACACTGTGCTTTTCTCTTTATTTTGATATGTGTGTCTTCTTCATATGAAAAAGATCCTGCTTCCCTTGTAAACTGTGCCTAGCAAACTGTCTCTCTGTGCCTAGTCATTTAGCTATGAAGAAACTCCTCACAGAGAAGAGTGATCTATCATTCAGAACATGTGAGTTTGCTGTGTGCACACACTGCTCTAACTTCCTCAAGAAGTCTAGCTGTTGGAAATGGGGCTCTGCACAATGTCTGTTTAATGAGAAGCAGCTGCCAGCAGTGTAGGGACATAAAACATGCCTGTAAGCAGAGAAACTTGGCAAATAAGAAGCTGAATTCAAAAGATGTGCTGTCATTTTCTGAAAACAGATGCCAATCCCAATAAATGGCCTCAGCATGTTGCCTTTTGGTTTTCCTGGTGGCAAACAATCTTCTGACTTAATTGTACAGGTAGTAGTCTCAGGTACCTTAAAGAATATCCCAGATGGTTCATGTTTTTGGCCTTGAGATATGAAAAAGGTAATGCAGCTAAACAAACATTTCTATGATTATGTTCTACCTTTGATCTGTGCCTGATGGACATAAGGGATCCATTCACTTCCATTATTGGTTTGAGCAGTTGTCCCACCTGTTATGACGAGCAGCTTTATGCCACATACACCTAGCACAGCCCCTGAAATTATTCTTTCTTGTCTCAAAGAGGCCTTTGGAGTCCATATCCCCACCCTGCAGAGCTCTGATGGCTGAGCCTTACCTCAGAACATAGGAGGGCCTCAGCAAACATGGGTATCTCACTGAGCTTGCAAATTCAACTGCGTCTCTCTAAAGAAAGGGGAAAAAACATGCTGTGAAGAAGAAAATATTTTAAAGTCATACCAAAATTCCAATTCTAACTGCATTTGCACTTTACTAGCCAGTAAGATTGAGGGGAAGAAGCTGGGGACTGCAGCCTGGGCTGAAGGCCCCCCTGACTTCTTGGTTACAGAGTTGTCACCTTCAGGCCTTCCCTGTCCATAAAGCTTCACTGGGGAAAAAAGAGCAGTGCCAACTTTGCAATCTCCACCTGCTAGAACAGTTCTCAAGGCCAACAGGATAAACTAAACTAGCCTGACAATGGTGCTAACTTCTGCTGGGTTGTGTAAACATGGGTTCTACTCCAGGTTGTGTAAACATGATTTAAAGACACTTCCAGTTTCACTTCCAGTCCACTCACTCCCAGTGCTGCTACAGCATCACTTTACATGGATCAAAAAGGTCTCCTACATTGGCAGTAAATAAACCATCAAATGTCTTTGGAATTTTGAAATGTATCCGTGAGTCAGGCCCTCCTGAGCAGATGCACATACCCAGATGCACATCCCAACTTACCAGTGTACTGACTGCCTTCCAGGGGGCCTGGGCCACATGCAGCTCATCCAGAATAGCTGAGAATATGGAGCGATCTTCTGCCTGGTCAATCTTCAAGGGATTTGTGCCAAGGATCTTTACTCCACTGTGGTGCAGTGGCACTGCCAAGTTATTGGGAATTTGCCCACCTACAGAAATAATGCAGCCACTGCATCCCTGTCGGCAGACAGATAGGAGGAGCACAGTCACGTCCAAGTTAACTTAACAATAAGAGCTGTCACAACTAGAAATCTAATGTTTACATTACATGTCTCTCCAGGTTGTTGTGAACAAAGACAGATCACTGGACCACAAAGACATCAGAGGGCTGGAACACCTCTCCTATGCAGCTAGGCTGAAAGAACTGGAGTTGTTCAGCCTTCGGTACTTACAGGGAGCTTACAAAACACAGGGAGAGCAACTTTTTACATTGGCAGACAGTGATAAGACAAGAGGGAGTGGTTTTAAACTAAAAGAGGAGAGATTCAGGTTACATGTTATGAAGAAATTCTTTACTCAGAGTGGTGAGGCACTGGCACTGGTTCACCAGAGAAGTCAGGGATGGCCCATCTGTGGAAGTTTTCAAGACCAGGTTGGACAGGGCTTTGAGCAACCTGGTCTAGTGGGTGCCCACAGCAGGGGGTTGGAACTAGGTGATTTTTAAGGTCCCTCCTTCCAACTCAAGCCATTCTATGCTTTTATCATAATTGTGCTGATCCAGAGGCACCCAGCTTGCAAAGTGTGATTCAGAGTACGTAGCCTCTCTACATGAGCAATATCCTCCTTGATATCATTCAAAACCCAGCAGTAACTTGAGGTCAAATTCCCCAGGAAACCAAAGTCTGCAGTATCTACACACCTTGTGATGTCAAGCCATGCTTCTATAACTCCTGCTTGAACCACATGCTGTTACCTTGCTTGCATGTCATGTTTAGGTCCTTCAGCTTTCCCAGTGAGGATAAGACTCCACTTGGTGGAGTCAGGTCTCCTTCCCATGTTCTCCTACACATATGAACATGGAGACCATCACTTCAACCGAGCCTACTCCCCCTTTCCTGCTGTGACCAGCAGCATGAACAAACAAAATGCTTCAGGTGCTCTTTCTATTTCAGTCCAGCTCTTAGAGAAAATAGCCTCCCCCATGCTCTTGGCCAGAGACTTGGAGAGCATCAGACATTCGTGAAAACTCTTTTTCATTCCAGAGTTGCAAGGCAGTAACCTCCAGCAGAGAGGCAATGGGAAAAAACTGAAATTTATGGGTTTTGTCTGGCAGCACTGTTACTTCATAAGCAAACCACCAAGCCACTCTTAAAGGAGTGTAACAAAGGTAAGCAGAGCTCAACACATCAGTCAGCCTGTGATGCTGAATTACTCTGCATACACTTAGCCCTTCATTTTAATCCATGCTCCTTATTCCTGACTAGCTCCTCATTTCCCATAGTGCCCAGGATAGTAGCAAGTATTTCAGCAAACTTGTCCTATGTGCTGGTTTCCACACAGGTTATTTGCAAGTATGTCAATTCCAGAAGCAGGTGAGGCAGGACAAGCTGGCACAGCATCCTCCAGCCACAATGGAGCATTTCATGTCTGTCACTGGGCAGTGAGGAAATAATACACAGCAAATAACAAGAGATAGGTGAGCTTGCTAACAAACACACACCCTTCTTCAGGTGGAAATATGGGACTTTTTTTTAACATAGAACCACTAATGCTTTCAAGTACAATCTAGTCAGGTGTGAAAATTTTCAGCAGCAAAAAAAGCCTTAGGGTAACTGCAACAACTATGAGGACATGAATTACATTTAGACTGTGTAATAATTGAGGGTAATTAAATAACAGGCACTTTACTTCCCAATTAAAGCTGGTGAAACTTGGCCCAAAGGAGAATCTGGCCTACAGCACAGCTGCAGTGAAGGACTCTTTTGAACCAAATGTGTTTTACAGTTTTACCCACTTCTAACAAACGAGAAACTTAAATCAAGTGATCCATGGTTTGGCTCTAAAAGGCAGAGGAACAATGTTCTTTTAATTAACAAGTGTGTTTTTCCTGAAGGTAGTCAGCCCCACTGGCCTTCCTGGGAGAGGAACTTATTTATCACAGATTTAAAGGGATTTGGAGTGGTAGATCCGTGAGCTGAGCGCAGGATGGACTAGAAGTGACTGTGAAAAAATAGATTATAAATGCTAGGAAAATTCCTGCTCAACTTTGATATGGTTAATTTCCTACCATAATAAAAATCCACTAAAATATCTGGCATTTAAGCAGCACTTATTATCCCAAGGTTTACAAGATTATTATTTGCTTAACAGGCTAATACACAGGGCTGGAGATGATTTTTTTTTCCTTTACACCATGCAGTTGCTTATGGGATGACACACTGCTGCTGGCCAACAGCAACCATCTGAAAGAGCTTAGGACAGGCAGCAGAAAATGCCTCATTAGTAGAGGATGGAGCAAGGACAGAGGCTGTTTGGTGCCCACATAGGTTTGTCTCATGACATCAGAGCTCAACATCTCCAACTCAGAAATATGTTCCTTACTTCATCCAGACCCATCCAAAACACAGCAATTCTCTCTAGTCCCTGGGCTCCTTACCATCCCACATGGATGAGACTGAATAAACTTGTGAATCCCTTCCTGCAGCTTGGAAGGATTCCTGTTTGATAACGAGTCAGCCCAGCTTTGCTGCCAAGGTCAACCAACATCTTAATCTATCCTCAACATCTTTGCCATGCGAATGTCTCAACTAACAGCTTCTCCTCAGCTGCTCCTTATTTCTTCCTTTAAAACAATTCTAGTTACTGAGCCTCTAAAATCTAAATACGGCCTACATCAAAGTTGGGATGGCTTTAGGGACTCCAGCCTTAAGGAGACAGAGGAGATGGCTCATTCAAGCAAATAGGAGAGAATCACAAACTCAATTTTAGTCAAAAAGAGTCATAAATTGAACCTAGCTGCAGCTCACTTCTTCCTTTAAAATTCTGCTGTTTCCCAAAGCATGCTCCTGCCCCAAGGGCAGCCACTGTCCTGCCAGGGGACAGGACTGCTCCACTGAGACATGTGGGCAGGCAGAAGGGGATGCCACTGCATATTTTAATTATAAAGGAAATGAATAACATCCTTGCCATTAGATATCTTTAAAATATACCCAATACATAATCTAGTGAAAGAAACCTAGAGAGAATTATTTTCCCGTTTATAACAAAAATCATTCTTTTTATTACTACCTTGCTTTTATGTCATTAGTAATAGAGCTGGGTTTTCTTTTTCCCTGAGTTTGAAAACAAATTAGACCATTAAAATTGTACCTAAGAGCCTCCTTTACTTTTATGAATCGTTTCAGAATGATCTTAGAAACGGAAAGAGAATCAGAAGAGGCCCTCAAGCAGATAGATATTAAAATAAAAAGGGAACATCTTCTCTGGAAACAAAAAACCAATAAATCTGAAGGAAGGAATTCTATTTTTTAAAACTGTCATCCTCACAGACTACCACCTAACTTTGCACATTCACAGCAAATTAAACTTTCCTCCAAAGCACAGTTCAGCTATGCAGAGCTCAGTATCTGGTGAGTCAGAGCAGCTGTGAATGTCAGCTGGAGGTAAAAGAGGACACAAGGGAGAGAAAGAGGAGGGACAGCTGAGTATATCCCTCGGATAGGGATGTGTGAAGCTGTGAGCATCTCTTGGTAGGCAAGTTCCAGCTGCCTCAGCCTCGCTGGTAACCTCCCTCCTCAATGCAGTCTAATTTGTCTAATCAGAAGAACTGAGACAAGACAGTGCACTTATTTATTTGAGCTTAGCAGTTGCCCAAGGTTTGCTGCTAATCCTAATGTTTAGGGAGCTCATGTATCATCTCTACTGAGGGCAGAGTGTTGTGTCCATTGTTTGCTGAAGGTTTTACCTACAGCTTGCCAATGATCCAGGACTTTTCAAAGTATTTGCTGCAGTTCATTGTCCATTGGAACACCAGATGAAGCTAATGAGCAGGAGAGGTTAAAAGAACAGCCTGAAACATGGCACTAGCTCTGTATATGAAGCTGGGAGGGATGGCTATCTGCAGGATTGGTGAAGGACCTCAGAATCAGATTAACTTTTACCTTGATCATTTCCTTAGGGACTGACTTCAAACTGCATTTGCCTGAGGAAGTATTCTGTTAACAGGATATTAGCATTTAGCTCACTCCTTTTTTTTAAAAAAATACATATAACAAATAATATCTCTTAGGTTACATTGTACAAAAAAAATACATAAATAATATCTCTTAGGTTACATTGTACTGGAGGTCTGGGTTCTGTCTCCAGGTCTGCCCATGCCCTTTTGCATGACTCTGTAGGCTACTCTACTCCTCAGAGACTCAGTTTTCCTGCTTGCAAATAAGGCGTGATGACACCATTTCTTTCTGTTGCTACCAAAGAAAAGTGTTCTAAACCAGCTGAATATTTACTATTCATCTTGAGAATTATTGGAGAGCATAACCCTGATTTTGGATGTTTAGGCTCAGACCCTGATGGCTTTAACATCTCCAGAGCAAACATCAAATCGGTTGTTTTCATACTCAAGCCAGAGTAGCAAACTCTCAGCATCTCTCATATCTTCCTTTTTTTTCCCACCATCTCAGCTCCTGCTGCCTTCTCCCTGCCCCTTCTCTTCTCACAATCACCTTTTGGTTTACTTCAAGAGCAGAACGGGCTAAAAACATGCCCAGAAGCATAAGCACAGTCCAGCTGATGAGCATGGCTGGCTGAGCTGGTGAAACTGCCAAGAGTGCCCCTCCCTTTCAGCTCTGAGTACCACAGGATGCTGCTATTAAACCTTGAGACCTGCATCACCTCCCATCAAACTCACCAAGCCTTGCTGTGACAAGCAGGATAATGCAAGTTTCAATATGTATGCATTACTCTTTTCACACGTTTTTCTTACCCAGCCTGCTAATTACTAGCACTCCGTGTTGAAATGAGCAGTTGCTCCCTCATCACCTATCTCTACCTTCTCTTTGATCCTGCAGTAATTAGATGCTGTGTTTCATCAGTGTTATTTGTCTGACAAACTGTCACACCAGTTTCCTCCATGCCCCAAGCTCAGAAGTTCAGTGCTGTTAAGTAAACAAGAGTTCAATGCTTTTAGAGCTGAGCCTCATGGATAATCCTAAAGCATTAAAAAATCAGCTTTTTAGAGTCCAGAGAACCAGGGAGTCTTTTGTTTTGTCCTAAATCTATGTTTTCCAGTAGCAGTCTCTGTTTTTACATAAATTTAAAAAACAACGTACAAATAGGAAAGTATGAACATGCAATGTAAAGTGGTCCTAAACAGCATTTTGCAAATGGTTGAAGAACAGAGCCTAGAGACTGTGACTTGAGTTCTGATGTGCTTTTGCTTGGTTCCAAATTTGGGAATGATCAGATTATAAAATCCTTTTAGAAACTTGCACCAATTCACAAAGGAGATGGACACAGATCCTCATATACTGGGGAAAAGAGCAAAAAAAAAAGCCCAAGTTTAACATGACCTGGGTTCTGCAAAGTTGCTTCAGCAAGTTATATGGCCAACTCCCACTGAGTGTCAAGGCAGATGAAGTTCCTGTAAGCACCTTTAAAAGCCTCAGCCACAAACCGAAGATGAGTGTCTTGATTCTGTAGAGCTTGAGGTCAGTAACAACAAGGTTGAGTGCCTGTGGATCAGAATCGGGGGGAAGGCCAACAAGGCTGACATCTTGGAGGGAGTCTGTTACAGACCACCCAATCAGGACAATGAGAGTGATGATTTACTGAAGCACACTTTCCTCAGAAATGTGTAGAACAGGGAGCTGGAGCGAGTCCAGAGAAGAACAACGAGGCTGGTGAAGGGACTCGAGCACAAGTGCTTTGAGGAGAGGCTGAGGGAGCTGGGGTTGTTTAGCCTGGAGAAGAGGAGGCTCAGGGGAGACCTTATCACCCTCTACAACTCCCTGAAAGGAGGTTGGAGTCAGGTGGGGGTTGGTCTCTTCTCCCAGGCAACCAGCAGGAGGACAAGAGGGCACAGACTCAAGCTCTGCCAGGGGAGATTTAGGTTGGGTATTAGGAAGACATTTTTTTACTGAGAGAGTGATTAGGCATTGGAATGTGCTGCCCAGGGAGGTGGTGGATTCACCATCTCTGGAGGTTTGCAAGATGAGACTAGATGTGGCACTTGGTGCCATGGTCTAGTAATGACAATGGGGTTGGACTGTATGATCTTTGAGGTCTCTTCCAACCTGGTTGATTCTATGAGTGTGTTACGCCTTAAAAATCAATACTTTCCATGTTGGGGCCAACTGTCTACATTATATATCTTCTCATTACTAAATCTGCCTGAGACTCTTCTCCATCTCTCATATCAGGACATCTGAACACTAGGAAACTCCTAAGAGACCAGTGCAATATCTGGATCAGGAGCTGGAACATGTTCTGTTTTGATGGCAATTCCAGATCTGTCTATTTGCACGCTGGACCACATCCACAACATTGCCACTGTACTGCAAGGCCAAGCCTGCAAGTTCTTGAGCACATGTTAGAGTGATGCATAGAAGTTGTTCTACTTCAAGTGGAGGACTTGTGCTTCAAATCAAGGGTGTGCTTAACTGCTAAAGCCCAGAACTGCAAGGGCAGAACAATTTGTGCGATAAATGACTGTGCAGCAAATTAAATCTGCTTGTAAATATTGCACAATATGGCATCTTGCAAAATAATTTAATATTTATTTGGCATTCATTATTGAGCAGTCTGCTAGGAACATCAATGATGTGTAAAATGCAACATTGGGATCCAAACCAAACAGCTTTTGTGAGCAAGCTCTCTCCCCTCGCCCCCAGCTGCTCTGCCAGAGCAAGCTGGTGACAAGAATTTTGAAGAGTTGGGTTGCTTCATGGCTTTTTATAGTGCTTCTGATTTTCTTTACCTCATATTGGTAGATGTCCAGGATCCTTTCCAATGACAGCTCCTCAAAGTACAGTCTGTCACACTCATCAAAATCTGTGCTCACCGTCTCCGGGTTGCAATTCACGACGACAGTCTTGTTGCCAAGCTGACGCAGCGTGCGGATACTGGAGACAGCACACCAATCAAACTCCACGCTGCTGCCTGCCAGGAGACAGAAAAGTGGGCAAGGAAAGGAAGGATGCAGAGAAGAAAACAAACAGACGTTTTCAGCACTCAAGCTGAAAAAAGAAAAAGGGAAAAAAAAAAAGCCAGCACTGTCTCCTGTCAGCTCAGAACAAGAAGTCTAATTGTCCTCTCATGGAAGTTAATCATCCACAAAACTGAACCTCCAAGCACAACAGGTAAGTTAGCTCAGCTGCTCAGGAGTGACAGATCTCTACAGCATGTCTGTCATCCTGTGCTCATAAATACTCATGTCTGCTCTTGCTACCCATCCAGCTACCACTGCCTCCCAACCAACAAGCTCTGGGATAAACTAAAGAGACGGAAGTTTAGACGTGGCTAAGATGAGCTCCCATTGTTATAAGACAGTGCTGTTTACTCCAGGAAACACAAAGCATTTGTACAGATGTGGTGTAAAGCACAGAAGACTGAAGTGGTTTTTACCTTTCAGAAGAGCAGTGTATGGCTAAATCAACATGAGAAAAATTATAGCACACTGGGTTTGACCTTATGGTGCACTGACTCTAGGTAAGGCAGATTAGAAGGAAGAACATTTCTAGAGCCACTCTGTGATCCTTTTATCTTGGTTTAAAGGCCACAGTGACTATGGCAACACTGTGGGACAAGCACATCCTACTGTTCTGGCCTCCTTGAAATGAAACAGGCACAGGGGGAGTCACCCGGTGCTTGGTCTTGGGCAAGCTGCAGCTCTTGGGACTTGGGCAATGCTGCAGGCTTCAGGGAACACTGGAATAGGGACTTGTGCAAACAGCTACTACTCAATAAATTTCTGCACTCAAACATCTAAGAGAGGTAACCATAAAGAGAGAATGATGCATACTAAAGAACATCATTAAATGGTTATGCTTACAGTCTACAAGAAATCCTTGGCCTCATCATGTTGTGTTCACAGCCATTACATAATCGTTAACCACCGGTATTATTTTCGTATATAATTGTGTGACAAGACACATTGGAAATTCAGGCTGTGCTTAATTGCTGCCTCCACCTAGTCACAAACAGATGGCTGGCACAGGTCACTCACTGACAGGCACATAAGTTGTTTCCCTACTTCTGTCAAACAAGAACCTCAGAATATGCCTAAGCCTTAGCTAAACCCCCACAGAAAAGAGGGAAATTAAATCTGAAACTGGATTTTTCCCAGAAGGGACATCAGATCTCCTGCACTTTTTCATTCCACTTTCATTACTCAGGTACTTTTACACGCACAAGAAACCTCAACTTTGAGACACAATGGTCATCTGGAACCCTCATCTGACTGCTTCAGATACAACATGGGAAAACAGCTGAACACTTGCAGTTTATTCCAGGCACACCCAATAATGGTCATGCCCAAACATGGGAAAGGGAAGACAGCAAATAAATAGTATTAGTAGTAACAACTGTTGTAACATAACCAGACACTGCTCCTCAGGAGGTACATCAACAAGGGCATGTTTTTGAACTCACTTTCAGGTCTCAATCGCACTAAAACTATGTGCACACCTTAAAATTTACAGAGCACTCTGCTGGTCCATGCAGGTGGTGGAATGTATTCTTACTGCTTTCAGGGCTGACTCATACAAACCAATCCCCTCCCAGGACAGGAGGTCCCCTCCTGGCTGCAGGTGAAGAGCAAGGATCACCTTGAATACCTGAGCAACACCTCATGGAGCACAGGTCACTCCCTGCAGCTCAGGCTCTCTGGGAGCCAGAGGCTTCAGGTGTGCAGGAAAAGTGTGCCAAAGCAAGCAATGAAGCTCAAGAGGGTGGAACTGTACTGATTCACATCATGATTCTATTTGACATATTACTTGTAACTTCAAAAAAAGACACTCAGTTTGGACAATTTTCTTTCAAAACACAGAATATAGCATGACTTGTGAAATGGCCTCCCACTTCCTCCAAATATTTTCATTTCTTTGCAGAAGTGTTAACATATTCAAGATTTTCCTGCAATATATTTCAAACTATTTTCAAATAAAATTCACAAGGTTGAGGCGGGGTTTTTTTAATCTAAAATTCAGTTTTCACAAAGGAAATAAGAAAAATAATGTCACGTGTTTAACTTCCATCCAAATCATTTAGCCCTTTCTGACCTGGCAGGGAACACTAAGTTGATCCAACTGAATTCTGATCACAATTGTGAAAGCACAGAACAAAAACACACTGCTTACTTGCTTCAAAGGATAATAAAAGAGGAAAAAAATCAACTTGGCTATTGCACCTATGAAAAAAGTCTTTTAGAGGTATAAGTAATGGTTTCCCTTAGCAGCCTTTTTTAGTTGCAACCTCTTCCAGAGATGGTCTTGATCTAATCAAAGCTACAGAGCAGGTGAGACCAAGATCAGATCTGCATGGCTAACCTAAGCAATGAGTTTTGGGTGAACAGTGCAAAATGTATTTACATACATCCAATGAGATTATTAAACAAATGTTGCCATCTTTTTCATGCTGATTTTTTATACCCATGGCACACAGCATGTTGAGTGGCAGAAGCATTCACAAAAGATAAGCATAATCATGGAGTGTTCCTCCTGATTTCACTCATCTCAACACTCATGCTGAAAACTGAGTTCAAACAGACACGTCCTACAAACAGCAACAGGAGTGCAGCATGTGACCTCTCCATCCAAGCAAAACAAATGGATGCAGTTTTCAATTTCAGCTTTCAAAACCCATCACCACTTCTTGTGAGATGCAGAGCAGAAATATTTCTGAATAACAAGCAATTTTTTTCTTGTCAGTAGTTGCAAGCCATTTAGAGAGATCCATGAGAAGAAAAAGTGAAAGTCATCATATGCAGAATTCAGCAGTCTGCCGACCCAATCCCCACAGCCATGAGGAAACTCTTATGCTGTATAATGATCTGAGTGGGCTGAAAAAACAGCATACAGAGAATTGCTTATACAAAAGCAGCTGAAGAGATCAAAATATTTTCAGAGTCACCTACACTTACAGCTGTAAAATGCACAGTATACAACAACATCATCATGAGCTGGCAGTAAACATATGAGACAGGTCTGGGAGCAACAAAATTCTATACAAGGTATCTGGTTCTCATGACCTTAGCGTGTGCAAAAAGTAAGATTATAAAATTCTATAAAACTTCGTGAAAATCACTACTAAGTGTCAAGTGAAAAGTAATAACTCTCCTGTTTTTTTCCAGGGCATGAAATGAAGTCTCCAAGCAAGTATAAAAGGCAAACCTTGTGTTAGGAATTGATGCCCTGTGCACTGTGCTCTGAAGGGTTTTGTCACCATATGAGAAGAGGAACAAATGAACCATAAGAATACCTGAAGAAGGCTTGAGGGTGCAAGGAGAACAGAGGAGTTATAAGAAAGATTTACCTATGTGATACGGTCCACAGCCCAGCACCATCACTCCACAGTCATCAAATTTTACATCATGCTCCTGAGAAGGGAGGGAAAAAAGCCATTAGGATCTCCATAGCACCTAACTCAGTGCTTTTCAGAATAAACAGTTCCTGGTGCTCAGGCCCATATCCAACAGCCTGATCCTTCAGGGCTCAAGTCTGATCTCATTTACTGCAGTGTAAATCAAGTGCAACTCTCCTGGAATTAGTGGTGCTGCACACAAACCAAAGGAGACACAGCACCTCTGATTTGGCTATTCGAGCAGCCTAAGGGGCTGTGAAGTTTCACATAATGAATGCTAGGATGAGATGAGTGAACCATGAGTTCTGTATTCCCAGCACCTACCTGTGCATGTACAGGTGATACATGACAGGATCTTAACAACACAGGGGCATTAACACTAAATGCACTGGATCAGGATTTGAGCAAGAGAAAATTCCAGGCCTGCTGTAAGGGGATTGTATGTAACACCATCCAAAATAGTTGCTAACGAGACCAAGATATCTGCAAGATCTCCAGAAATAACACAGCATAGGGGAAAGAGATCAAACCAGACAGCAATGGAACTGTTGTTTCAAGAGGTGCCTACCTGCCCATTGTACGTGACATAGAGGTAATTAGTCACCGTTGGGTATTCTGCTGCCAGTGTGTCAATCTGCATAGGGAAGAAGAGAAGGGACTGTGACTTGGCCAGAGCAAAATCTTTCCCATGTGCAGGTGTTTTGGGTTTTTTCTTTTCTCTCTTTCCTTTTCTACTGCTATTTCAGTCCTATTATCTTCCCATCATGTCTTTCCCTCATAAGGAGGTGATCTGAACTGTCCTGCACTTGCAATGCAGCATATGCCTGGCTGTCCACTCAGACCCTGCAGTTCAGTCAACACAACACTCTAACATCTCTTTCTAAGCTGCAGTTTCAGCTCTGCATCTCTTTGGTGAAACACCTACATATCCCAAGAACCTCCCCTACTTGCCAAGGCCCTCATTCTCTAGTTTGTTTGGCAGCAATAATTACACACATCTCCATTCCTCCAGGTCTCCAGTCCTCTTTAACTGGGCCATCTGGAACCTTCACGCTCTACTCTTGACCTCATCTTACTCCCACACTGAATGCAAACACAAAATCACTTGTGCCAAGTAGCAGTGCAATTACTATATGTTTATGTTACAATATAACTTGTGCCTTGATAATTCAACGGTACACAAAGCAAGAGTGATTTTCAACCGCCCCCTATATGTAGTTTTCAACAATTTCTTAGGTAATTAGTCATGAGAGAACCCAGAAGAATAATTTGCCTACTAGGCTGTTCACAAACTGTTTGTGTCAACTACTCATTGCATGTTATACATGATAACTAGTCCATCTAGGTCACCAGCGAGTGCTGAAGTTCCCTGAATGAACATCTGAAATATTTCTACCCAGAATACTGAACAGGGAACAATATTAAAGCAGTCCTGACACGAATTTTTACACGCTATACCATTTAAAAATCTGTCCAAACTTCAAGTACTTTCAGGAATCCCCACTGGCCTTCCAAATCCTTGTGAATAATGGAGAATGTGACCTTACGTCATTAGCACCGTGTAAGTGTCTGCTGCTCATTACTGGTGCTAATACTGCAACTTGTACTTCATGGCTCAAGAAGAAACATATGCTTTGAAGGCACACGTGCAGGAACAAGCAGAATGACCTTATTAAGGGTACCTCGGCACACAAATCAATCCAGCACTGCAGTGCCATATGCAGCTGAAAGAACACAGTGCAAGACCAGGCATGTCTCTGTGGCCAGGTGAGCCGTAGAAGAAAAACAGCAGCTGGGGAACAGAAGGAGATTTGGCACCTGGAATTGGGCCTGAGGATACAGACGAGCTCTCTCGGAAATATTCAGTAGTTTGGGTTGGTTTTCTCCCCCCTGTTTAAGGACAGAAAACCAGCTGGTGGCAGTTTAATACCAACATACCTTAAATGCAGCAGCAGAGCACCTAGTGACACTGCTATGAATACTAGATGAGCTCATTACGCTCATGCTATCACAATGAATAGCAAATGAACCCATAACAATAGCACACTTCAAATAAAGTATTAGCCTGTGAAAAGTTTGTACCAGGAGAGAAGACATATTATGCTTTTCATGGTTACAGCATGGTGGGTCAGCATTCTCAGCCTTTTCCTGAAGCCACATAGCTGTGTCTTCCCCTCAGCCACACAGAATATGGACAGGAATATTCTGACTCTCCCTTTGGGAATGTTCACGGCATTACATTGATGTGTGCAGTGCAGAAGTAACAGCTACATGTGTGAAGTGTGATCTCCTCTCATGTGTACATCAAAACTCCTGTGGATGTTAACGGAGCCAGGGGTTTCTAAAGACATGGAGGTCTCCTGCCTCTGGCACTCTTGCAAGTCCTGACCAAAATGTTTCTGACATACCTGTTTCACCCAGGGCACTATGTTCTTCCTCACTCTCAGCTGACGGCACTGGACTTCAGTCAGCCTCAGGCATTTCCCCATCTGTTTGTCAGAGAACCCGATCTGTTTGGCCCTCCTCAGCATCTCTTCTGGAACTGTTTCACTGGGATTAAATAAGAGAAACACCTCTGCATGAGGCTTTACAGCCTTGGAATACCAAGGAGATAATATGAGTACTTGTGTCCTCTGTACTGCACAGACTCGCTACAGGATCATGCACAGGATAGCAAGAAAAAGAAGACTCATACATTTTTTGCATTGGGTGCCCCCCACAAACACCTATGAGGTAAAGTACAGGCAGACTGCTGGTGGTAGGAAGCGAAACATTTTCTTTCCCTGCATTTTTGAGGCAGGAATGAGTGACTCATGATGAGGTTCATCACCTCCCAGGCAGCACTTCCATCAGGCTAGTACAAGTTCACTGTATCCACAACAATTGCATGCTCATTTACCACTTCAGCCTCCAGAGAGGAACTGCAGTGATTCCCTCCTTGAATTCAGTATTCCTATAACTCCATGCACAAACTTTAACTCAATATCTCCTTTACATTCCTCCTCCCAGTCTAAATTTTAAAATACAGGCCTCACCAGACTGGGCAGGATCAATCATTACGCATGTGCCTGCATCTCCTGCCTCTGGTTGCAGCTGCCCACTCCACACAAAGGCATGAAATTCCTGAGGCTGTGGGAAGAGCCAATCAGAGGCACAACTGTGCCCTGGCACTGCTGGGATGGGAGACAACCGGTCTCAAAACACTACAATTTGTCCCAAACAAGTCTTCCCTTCTGTTGCTGAGGATGCTCTGCCTAACTCCAGAAATGGCCAGTCTTTGGAAAACACATCCAACTTCAGAAATCCATAGCCAAAACGACCTTCAGAGTCTCACACAGAAGGCAGGTTTTTTCTTCTGACAGTCTCCAGATACCTTTTTTCCATATTATTTATGCTGGTTCTTGCATAGCAAAACAGAGAGGGGGGAACACACAAGGTAAAGCAAGGGCACCTTTTTTGATTTTGTATTGCAACCAGGGTCTCTCAATAGAATCATAGAATCATATGTTTTCATTCTCCTGGTTTTTCTTATCAGGAGTCCTAGTTTTTGCAGTTTGTTTCAAACACATTGTTCTCCCTCTGCCATCTCTGCAGCTCCACAGTTTCTTGTCCATTTTGCTCTTGATTTTTTTGCCTTCTCCATTCCCTCTTTATTCTCTCCTACTCTTTGTTCCACTTTGACTCCACCTATAGTCCTTATAATTACTTCCTGCCTCCATTTTTAAGCTACCTTCTCTAAGCTTAGCTTTTGCAAAAACATAAAAAAGCCTATGTATTTTTATCAACACTTCTGCTTTTCATCTTCATTGCCAAGAGCATCCTTGCCTGCCCAATAAATCAATATTTTATGAGCAAGCAAGCTCTGAATCAGGAAAAAGGAAGTGATTAACAAACAAGCAATTTTCCTAAATCAGAGCTTTTGATTGCTTGACAGAATTTAAAAATAAATAGTATTATTTTATTTGAGTGGGAGGAGAGGGGTAAGACCGCTTTATTGGAATGTGTCAGGAAGCTGAAGCATGAAAGAGAGTCATTGGATGGGATTTTCCCCTCTGGCTTAGGCACAGAGCAGCTCTGCTGCCCGTGGTGGAGTCAAGCTAGTGTGAAACAGGTGAGAGTGACACAAGTGTCAAACTAGCTGTTCTGAGAGCAGAACTGAGGACCAGACATTTTGGGGCTCAGAGCTCTGGGTAGATGGGGTTTGTTCCATGAATTGCCCAATGACACCTTTCCTTGCCCTACAGTATGAGAACAGAGAGCTTCACCTTCCAGCAATAGCATAACAGAAAGCTAGTGAGAATTTGCAGGAAGGAAATGCTAACTGTAACTCCTATCCTCCACACTGTGTCCCAAATCCCTCTCTTAAACTTCTGTCCTCTGCATTGTGGCCCAGCCTGCCACCACAACCAGCCTGCTTTGTCCTCAGGGGGCTCCAGGCACGAGTACCACCAACACACTCAATCTTCTTCACAACCCTTCACCACATCACCCTTCTTACTCCACAAAATCCTTCTCTTTGTCAGTGTCAGAAGGAAAGTTGTGTTCAAGAAGGAAGTGTTCAAGGCCAGGTTGGACGGGACTCAGAGCAACCTGGTGTAGTGGAAGGTGTCCCTGCCCATGGCAGGGGCTTGGAACAAGCTGACCTTTAAGGTCCCTTCCAACTCAAAACATTCTGTGATTCTATGAAGCTGTCCTGCCTAATCCAGCAGGTGGAGCTTCCCAGGTTTTGGATATCCCAAAATAAGACCCACTTTGCAACACCACAGTACATTAAAACCTGTGGTTCCCATACACAAACACCACCACAAACTCCTCTGCTTCTCCTCAGCCCTTTCTGCTCACAGCTCAGAGGCAGGACCTCTTGCATAAACCACGAACACCAGAACTGAAGGCATGGATGGGTGTTTTACAGGAGCAAACAAACCAAAATCCATCAACTCACTGGCAAAACTGATGCTAGCCATCGCTGGCAGTTAGGGACACAGCCACATCAGATTTCTCTCCTAGACTCTGCATTCCTAGGTACGAGTGAGCAGACCTGATGACCCCAAGAAAATGAGCCTGTTTCAGTACCGTTTACTCCCCTGCCCTCCCTCCCTTCTGCCTCAGGAACACACAGAGCTGGCTGTCATTTGATTACTGACAGAGACAGCAAATTGCCTTCATTTGCAGCTTGTTTCCATTGCATTTTTTGTCTCTCATTATAGCCATATCATTCACTGTCACCCCCCAGCAGGGTGGGTACAATAGATGCAGTGATTATTTGGCGACATGATTCATTTGCCTTGGGCTAGCAGTTTAAATTAGGTTAAAACACTTATTAATCCGTGAGAAAAGGTAACTGGGTTTGTACAGGACAACCAGGGTGCAAGAGAAAAGCCGAGTCCCAAAAAGGGGAAATGGAACCATGCATTTTTACATGCATTTTTTTTCCTCTGCTACTCCCAAGGCATAATAGGGAAAAGATAAGAGATGCAGCTTTCAATGGGGCTAGTAAGAAAAATGCAGTGGGAACCTGCGTTCAAGCAGCACCTAGAAAGGAAGGATTTTCTCATTTTTCACTGCCATGGAGGCAGCTTAATAGAAACACACGCAGCTCACCACGAGGCAGGACAGGTTAGAACTGATGGCCCAGCCCTGGCGATGTCACAGTTTTGCCATTTTATATTGTCACAGAAAACGGGCAAGAGTCAAACACACAGTAGTGCTGCTTTCCAAGCACCTGAAACCAGAACCTGCCACCAGATGAGAAACTGCCAAAAGCCTCTGAGACAGCTCCCAGGGATTTGGAGGCACAATCAGAAGAAGGGGCAGGCAGAGGAAGGCAGCAGAACTGTTCCACCATGTTTAAAGGGAACTGGATCAGAGAACTGCAAATCCTCTGCACTGCTGTGGAAATTGGGCTGCCTCTCTGCATGCACTGGACACACATCTTCATAACTGAGTAACTTCCATTGACTGATAAGGGCAATTTTTAGCATTTATATCTCAGCTTTCATGGAAATAATATAAAGAAACATGCAAACAGGACGGTAGGGTGATGTTTATCTTGTAGACAGCAAAACTGAAGTACACACAGGTTGAGGGGTGATGATTTTTGAGATCCAGCATTCCCATTGCCTTTGCTCAAAGACAGCCCTGTAGACTTGCTTAAGACACTAAAGACAGCAGGAGCAGAATCAGGCTGATCTCTTTGAAGGTTTGGATGCAAATAACCCTTCCAGCTCACCAGAAACCCAGCAGTAAAAAGAGAAGACAAAAACTCTCATTTCTGGCTATTCCCAAACACGTGACCCAGTCCTACATCAGTGCCTCCCACTTTTCCCTGGAGCATCACTTACTTTTCCAACACAGAGGAAAAAGTGTTCTTTTAGAACAATTCAATTGTGAAACAAGGGAAGATTAAGTGGCTATGATTTCAGACTTCTATAATGCTCCTTTTCCCTAATTTTTGCCTTTGCAAAATGACAGTCAGGACTTTCAGAGCTTCACGCCCAGACAATTAGACTTTTGCACGCTGCCATAATCATTAAGTGGCTGTTCAATTCCTCAGACAGCTGAAGTCCTCTGCACATTTTCCAGTTTATAAACAACATGAGCCTTTCCCCAACCTTGCTTGTGACTCCGTTTCAGCTTCCAGTGTTGATTTGTTGTTGCTTTTAGTTTGAAATTGCACCCTGTCATCTTTGAACTCCTTCCATGCACTTCTTCAATACCACACAATAAAAGGAAATAGAATGAATTCCCCTTAATGAGGAAATTTTCACCTGGCATAGAGGACCTGCAGAAATCTATTAACTGACTGGAGGAAGGCTGGCAGCATTGCAATTATCAGGAGAGCCTGCTCACTTCAGCAGGGCTCTCTCTTCCGCTTGACCAGCTTTCAACTGATCCACCAGTTTAGGTGTCATGCTACATAAAGGAGCCAGCAGAAAGCTTGTCTCCCAAATCAGGTTCTACTTCATTTTTGGTATCACAGAATCTTCAGAGTTGGAAGGGAACCACAAGGATCATCAAGTCCAACTCTTGGCCCTACACAGGGTATCTCCAAGAATCATACCATGTGCCTGACAGCATTGTCCAAATGCTTCTTGAATTCTGTCAAGCTTGGGGCTCTGGGGAGCCTGTTTCAGTGCCTAATCACCCTCTGGGTGAAGAAACTTTTGCTAATCTCTAACCTAAACCTACCCTGATAACTTCAGGCCATTCCCTTGGGTCCCATCACTGATTGCCAGAGAGATTTTAGGTTTATGCCCATCCATCTATTACTTAGGTGCATATAACAGGTCTTGATCAAAAGGATCAGGAATGTTTAGTGAACAGAGGGCCAAAGCAAGAGCTGGGAGCATTTGGGACACAACTACTGCCTGTAGCACCTGTCCTGTAAGCACACAGGGTCACCCTTGCAGGTCACCTCTGCCTTATTTCAGCAGCTACACATGTGGCTTGGATATGCACAGAAGAGCTCTTCCTGAAAGTTTTGAATTTGTCTCCTCTGAAGTCTGGAGGGATTTAAGCCCAGACTAAACTTTAAGCCCAGTTTCACCGTG